AGAGATGGAATGGCAGAAACTCATCCTACTATGTGGTTAGTATCATCCCCTGACATAAAAGGGGGTGCCTGACCTCCCACAGCTCATACTGGTGGCAGCAGAGCCAGTGGCCCAGATGACAGCCATGGGCACACATCCCCCCATGCACCTCCATCCACCACGCTGGTGAGCATAGATGGTGAGAGAGAAAGGCGGATGAAAGTAGATACACCATGTCCTGTAAGAAAGGACATCAAGTGTTGTCCTTCCAAGTTGTCTCCACCAAGCCGAAAAGAAGGCTGAGAAAGCAGGTGGGAAGGAGAAGGGACTCCGAGGAGGGAGGGGCAAGCCCGGCTCTCTAAGACAGCAGCACAAGGTCCAGAAAAGCACACTAGACCAGAGGCAGGACACTCAGTCTGCTCCCAGCACAGCCGCCAGCTCTCAACAACATGCCAGGAAGGAGCCTAGTCAGTGCAGCTCACTAGTCATTTAGATCATATTTATTAAGTGTTTATTACGTACCAGGTAGTGTTCTGAGCACCAGGGACATGGAAGAAAACAGAAACAGCCAGTTCTGGATGGTCTCCCTCCAGCTCAGGCTGTGGAGAGGCCAGAGTGGAAGATCAGGTAGATAACTGATAGCAGAGGAGAAGGCTTGACCTCATTGGGGAGCAGTGTTCTTCTGGCTACTTCCTGAGAGCAAAAGTCAGTCCCCTCATCCCACCCCACCTGACTCCAGGTCCTGAGCAAGGGAGCCTCATGCAGGTCATGGTGACTGTTACTGACACATCCCACCCCACCCCACTCCAGGTCCTGAGCACAGGAGCCTCACCCAGGTCTTGGTGACTGCTGTGAGTTGAATTGTGGCCCCTAGAACATGTGTCAGCATGACTAGGCTATGATTCTCAGTACTGTATATGATCTCCCTTTTGTGAACTGAAATAATTATCCTTTGTTTTGTAAATCCTAACCTCTATGATGCAAATGAAGCAGAATTAGAGGCAGATATTTTAATGAGGCAGGATGCAATCTATAAGATTAGGTTTATTTTAAAGTCAATCTCTTATGAGATATAAAAGAGATTAAACAAGTGGGCAGAGATTAGAGGGACCCGACTACCAAGAAAGATCTGAGAGGAAAGTACATCTTTTGGGCTCTGAGTCCTTGTGCTGAAAATCTCCTAGACCCAGGGGAAGGTTGAATACAAGGACCTTCCACAAGAGCTGACAGAGGGAATAAGGCTTCCCCTAGAGCTGGCACCCTGAACTTGGACTTCTAGCCTCCTAAGCTGTGAGAGAATAAACTTCTGTTTGTTAAGGGACATCCATTTGTGATATCTCTATATAGCACTAGAGAACTAAGGAGAGCGACCACCTGGCACATAGCCTGAAAGGCAAGTCTTAGGCTCATAGAAACAGCCAGAAATATAGATAGGTGTTTTTCTCTGTTTTGTTTTTCGGTTAGATAGCTAGACTAAAAGTAGAACAGAAGAAAAATGAAAACTTATTTAGTTTATGGTTCTTTTCTAAAAAGTTTGCCTCAAATGGCCAACATTAATGGTTAGATGAAACTTCACAAAAATTAATGTTCCCTATAGTCATTGTTCCTGATTTGTGGAAAAACACAACCTGTATATGAAATATGAAAAATGGAGTGCATTATTTGCAACACATCAAGAGAATAAGCACCTCTTTTACCAAACACAGAGCCAGGCTTGACTCCTATGGGAACGCTACTGTGATGCACACTGCACGGGCAGGTTTGTCCCCCATCTTTCCTGAGGCTAATTCATGAGATTAGTTCAGAGAAGGAGTTTTTACATGACAAGTTAGCTCCCTGTTGGCGTGCTATCCAGACTGTCTGGCACAGCCCTCCTTCCCCCGAGTCATGGGCCACCACCTCTACAGGCATGCACCAGCTTCTGCAGGATTCTCTGCCAAGGCTGCCTGACCCTTGGGTTGCCCAGAACCAGCAGAGCAGAGTGAAGAGAGGGGGAGGCAGCCATGAGGGTCTCGGAGAAGAAGACGGAGGTGAGATCCAGGGTGGACCACTTGGCGGTGATAGAGATGGGGCTGGCCAGGACATACACGATGTGGAGAACCAGGAAGCAGCCCAGGGACCGCAGGGCTGTGACATGAGCCTGGGCCTGGACGTCCCTCCTGCCCATTGTGAAGACCTTCATCATCCGGTGGTGTCTGTACAGAGAGACCATCAGCATCCCAGAGTACAGCAGAAACAGCGAGAAAGGCAGCCAACTTCCCGAATTGAAGAGGAATATGTGAAAGTAATGCCAGCTCAAAAAGGGGTGCGGAATGCTGCTGTTCCCCTGGGAGGGCATGTAGGGCTGTTGGGCCATGTGGGTCAGGAGAAGCAAAGTGATGATCAAGTAGCCAACAAGGGCCCAGAAGCTCAGGCCATAGGCCTGCTTCTTCAGCCACACGTACGCAGGGTGTTTGAAGGTGGTGATCTTCAAGCAGTAGAAGATGCTCAGGAAGGTGGTGAACCACAGGCTGGCCTGGCTCACCAGGACCCAGGTGACACTGAGGTAGCAGAGCCAGCGACTGCTCTGGAAGAGCAGGAACAGGTTCAGCTCTGTCATGATCAACCACTGCAGGAGAAAGCGGCAGGATGCCAGGCCCAGGATGATGCGGCTGTAGGTGGACTGTCTGGCTCTCTTGGTCCATTCTCCAATACTCCAAACCATAAGGACTCCGTTCCCAACAACGCCGATGAGGAACTCAGCCATGGCCACCACCATCAGCAGGCCTTGGGCCACGGTCACCATGGTGAGAGGAGTCCTTTGTGGGCTGAGGGATGTCAAGGCTCTGGCTATGGTTCAGAGCCCTGGTGGCAGTACCTTGCTCACGCTGAACCCAGTCCTGGCCTTGTTCTCTGTAACCTGTCCTCAGGCAGAGACTGAAAGCTGTGGCAGAGGGGCAGAGTATGCTGGAGTCACTGTCCCCTCTGTATTTGCATCCCCACAAGCAAACCCCGTGTCTAGTCTCAGAGACACAGAACAGCCCCATGGCTGTAGACACTCCCCCTCAAGGGTCAAGGTCAAAGTCTACACAAAGCTGTGACAGAACAAGAAAGATCACATGAAACACACTACATCTACAACATCACATATGAGCCCACAGGCCACAGAAAGGGACTTTGTCTTCATAAAAAGAGCTTTGGACATAAAGTCATGAAAGCTGAATAACCTCAGAAATTTCAAAAAAGAAAAAAGATGCTCCATGATGAGAAGTAGAGGAAATGTTGAGGAAGAAAGCAGTACAAGAACCAAAGCGTGTACTACGTAATGCCAGCTAGTGAAGGACCCAGCATCAGTGGGCGAACCATCACTGCCAGCGCTGCCTTCAAGGCTGTCTGTCCTTCCTGCCTGAGGACTGTCTGCACTCTCCTGGATGTGTGTCTCACCTCACCGACTTGAAGGAAGGATGAGCTCCACAACACAAACAGGGCTCGCCGAGTCCTCAAGAAACGAAGGAGATTTTACACAGCAACAAGTCAGCTCCCTGCTGGCGTCCTTGAGACCCCACCTCCCTAGGACTGGTCTGGGGCAAACACGTCTGTGGTGGTGACTCCAGGACTCTCACCCCCAGTGGGCACACCCTGCATTCACCATTCCCCAAGTGTGACACGCTATGGATCGGTTGATGGCACTTCTGTGATTAGGGGAAGTTGGATAACAAAAGTGAAGGGCTCTTGCAGATGTCATCAAGGTCTCAAATGAATCGATTATGAGTTAATCACAAGGGACGTTTGCCTCTGTGGGCCCAGCTCTGTCAGTGACAGTCTTGAAAGAGGGCCTGGGCCATCTTGAAGGGTGAGTCTCCTGCTGGACATGGAGAATTTAGCCACCACGTCGTGAGAGGCCATGAGAGGGCCACCTGGCCAGAACTAGGGGCAGCCTCTGGTTGCTGAGAGCAGCCTGGCAAAGCAGCAGGACATGGAATCTGCCCACAAGCACATGAGCTTGGAAGAGGAGCTGATCTTCAGAAAGGACCTCAGCCCGGCCGGCACCCTGACTACAGCCCTGAGACACCTTGAGCAGAGGGCTCAGCTGCACAGTGCAGGACAGACTCCCACCAATGACAACTGTGAGATGGGAAAAGCTTGTGTGGCTACACAACAAACAGGAAACACACACAGCATTCAGACCAGGCTGGAAGTGCCTGTGAAGAAATGAGGACAAGGAAGAATTTGATTAGAAGGAAGGGGACAGCCGGGGTGCAGAGGAAAGGGTGTGGGACCAGGGTCAGCTTTGGGCTCAGCACTGGGCAGCCACCTCCAGCCTCAGCCCTGCCACCGTGACAGTGGGGTAGACCACCACTCACTCAGCAGGGAGCGGGCCACAGCCCCTGCTTCCCACCGTACTTTCTGCACCATCTCCATCCCACCCCAGGGCTGGCGTCTCACAGCCCTGGCTGCAGGCTGCAGAGGCAGGGTCTGCATGGTCCACTCTGCCCAGAACCTCACACTGACCATGGCAGCCAACTGACATGTGTCCAGAAAGCCTCGCAGAAAATTTCCAGAAATATAAAGACGATTTTAGACCACCTCCTGCACTACCTGTGTTAAGAAAGACTAAGCCATAGAGGAAATCGAGATGGCTTACTGATTAATTCCAATAAGGAAGAATGCTTGTCTAAACAATCCCTGGGGAGTTCTGGTGGTGTAGTGCCTAAGGCATCTGACTGCTAACCAGAAGTCTGGCGGTTCAAACCCACCAGCCACTCCTTGGAAAGAAGGTTGGGCAATCTACTTCTGTAGAGATACTGCCTTAGAAACCCAAGGAGGGGTCGCTATGAGCCAGATCCAACTCCACGGCAGTGAGTTTGGTTTGGTTTGAAACAAGCCTTAACAATCAATTGCACTGTTTATCTTCTTTAAGACACACATTATTTTAAAATGATAACTTTCCCTTATCAGGGGAGACAGAGTGACAAAGGAAATAGAAATATCTGCAGTAATGGAGAAAAATGGGAGACTTGCAAACCATGGCAACCAGTTGACTCCCGGAGTTATTGAAACAAGGTGCTTTGCATCGCGGACAGAGCGTAGGCCCTGGTTTCTGGCACATTTTCCATGTTCCTTCTCGTTTTATTTTTAAATCAGAGAAGTGAAAATAAAGGTTTTAACTAATTTTACAGTAAACTTCCTTGTCCATTGGCAGTTACCCAGCCTCCCTCCCAGGGACTCCAGGTTCACAGCACTGAACAGAAGATAGAGGTCCAGGGAGACCCACCCTCCCCGGACACAGATGTGCCCTCTGCCCCACACCCCCAGAGCAGTCTATCTGGACAGAACAAGACTCCAGGGAGGAAGAAAGGAAGGATCAGCGCTGGTTTCAGAGCCCAGACACTTTCAGCCAATGAACATCCCCAGCAGCCAGTCTGAGGCCGGCTCTAGCCCTGCTCGCATCGGAGCAGGTTCACCAGCAGTGTGTTTCTGTACAGGGCAGCCCTTACCACACTTCTGGAATGTGCCTACTCCGCCACTAGGCGGCGCCCAGCAAGGCTTCCATGGCAGCTGGTACCCTGCACAAACTCTCTTCCCCTAACCATCCGTGCTGGTCCACATTCGCAGACACAGTGCAGACCGAACAGACAATGCAGTTTCCTTTGTCAGAACACTATGTCACTCCTGACAAGGGGAAGTGGAAAGAATTACCATTTTGAAATCAAGTGTAACAGGAGCAACACTATAACTGTACAGTCTCCACTGTCTTTCCAGTTCCTTCCCCACCATCGTATGAAGGGAGGGCTCTTCCCCACGGGGTCAGCTACAAGGACTGCACCAGGGTTCAGGTCTTTGGGGGAGATTCAGCCAGGGTCCAGCCACAGCCAGGACCCCCACCTCTGGGGAGGAGGATGAGAAGAGAAGGTGTGTTGTCTGGGTGGAGGGCGGCAGAGGGTCAGGCTGGGCATGAGACCCTGGAGCATGTGGAGACAGGGACAGCATTGCCAGAGACCCTCCGGCAGGTGGCGCATAACACACACACACACACACACACACACACACACACACCAGTTTGGGCTGCACTCAGTGACTCCAATAGAGCTGGAGAGGGAAAGTCCAGCAGACCCCACCTGAGCCAGGTCAGCCTCCCAGTGAGGAGTCATGTGGAGACATGTTCCTTCTGATGTGATGGGATGTGATGTGATGGGGGCACTTCACTCTGTCACACTTTCCCACAAACCCTTGACCCCAGTGTATTCATGAGGAAACAGCAAGAATTGAGGGACACTGAACAAGACACCTGACCAGTGTCTCCTTCAAGACCACAGCCAGCATCATAGAAAATGAGGAAAGAGACCAAGAAACAGTCACAGACCAAGAGACTAAATGCAACATGACACCCTGGATGGGATCTTGGGTCAGAAAAGAGATGTGAGGGGCACACTGGAGGGGCCACCAAAGCCTGGCACTAACAGTACGGTGGTGTTCTGGTTCCCTAGTGCCGCTCTGATGGAATATACCACAAATGGGATGCTTGAACAAGAGTTTATTCTCTTACCGTTTGAAGGCTTTAAGTCCAAGTTCAAATTGCCAGGCTCTGGGGGCGGGGTGAAAGCCCCTCAACCTTAGCCTTCAGCTCTGCCTCCTGCTCCCGGCCCACTAAAGTTAGAGGCTTTTCTTCACTCAGCTGCTGGCTGTGAGGCTGACAAGCCCAATGTGGACGAAAAGGCACAGTCTTGATGTTACCAAACTACACAGCAGGCCATTTATTTAAGTCCATTGAAAGTCCCAAGGTCACCAGAGCACGGCAGGCTGCTGAATAACAACTTGGCTACCTAAAGGGTTCAAGTGTGCCATAGGCTAGAGACCGTTCCCAAGGCTTCTCCTTATACACAGGAACCAGACCAGAGCCCTAAGGCAGCTACTCAGCTGCTCACAGTAGATTCCACCATGGAGTTGATTGCAGTCTCATCATGGGGAATAACTACCACCAGCTGCCCAGCCACTCAACCAGGTCCAGCCAAGTTGACACATAACCTTAACTATCACAAGCGGCAACTGCGCAAGCCAGAACCTGACGGGAGCACCTTGTTTCCCAGTACCTCATGTTTTTTGCCCTTGACAGGGTGTCACTTTCCACTTTTCCATCACATCTTTTTAGTGGAAAATCTTTGTTTTCTTTCTCTAACAGGTTTCACCTTACATGGGTTCTGGATTTGATAGGTATCACTGTATTGTTAATTCCTCAGTTTTGACAAATCTCACGTGGTTACATAAGGTGTTAACATTAGGGACAACTGGGGGTTGTGGAATATGGGGACCCTCTGGACTCCCTTTACAACTTTTCTGTGAAATATAATAAAGTCAAATGAAGATTAAAACTTTCTTACAAAAAACACTGAATAAAACTCAGTGTTTATATGAGAGTAATGTTCTTAATAATCTAGGAATAGCATTTTTCCAAAAAAGCACATTTAAGAGCACACTAAGACAGGACAGACAGGGCCTCTGGACGTCTGTCCCCCAGAGCAGAGCCATCGCGGGCCATGCCAGCACAGCACAGACAGACGGGAGGCTGTACTAACCTTCCTACAAGGGGAAGTCCCACAGACTGGGTTTTACACGGCCCTACTCAGCCAGGCTGGGTCCCAAGACAAGCCAATGACCCTTTGAGCTTCTCCTTCCTCCCTATAAAAATGCTAGTGAGGAGGTAGCCACACAGGGCCATTGGATGATGAAGGTCATGGGGATCACCCTGCCTGGTGCCCCGCGGACGGGACAGCACATGTGATTCTCCCTGCCTCACTCGGTGCTTTC